GTTCGAACAGCTCCCTTAAATAAAAAAAAATAAATCCATTTCTTAAGCAAAACTCAAAAAAGAGAAAGAAACGTTGAACACTAAAACTTAATTCTAAACTATTACTACAAAGGATATTCGATTATTTGTAGATGGATATGCAGATAACGAACAGTATTCAATATCAAAGTCCATAAAAAATACAAAATAGGAGCAGAGCAAACACGGACCTCCGAAACATCAGACATGGGATCAGGTGCCATGGAGAAGTGAGCATCCCCCGCTGACCGGTCACACCCGCCGTGTGCTCCTTGTCATGATCGGGAAATAACGGAAAAATCCGTCGTCAATTCACTGTATGAATAATGGACTAACAATTAGTATGAAAAACGTCAGTAAGTATTTGACTTAATAATAAATTGTATTTGCTGACAAGGTCATTGTATCAACCATAGAATTTACGAAATGATGACTTTAAACGAGACTGTTGATATTCTTGTTTCATCAACTTGCTTGTCAATAATTTACCTCGTTTTAGAAATTGTTCATACGAAGATCATGCTCTTGCATATCGAATCAACTGAGATCTATACACTCCGTATGCAGGTGATTAAGTTATATTGCTGCATAAGTAAGCTAGGAAAGTAATTATAGAAAAGTTAAAGTCATCACGTTAATCATTGAGCTTGGTTGTTAGATTACCATGAACGTCTTTTTCAAGTAAAATATCCAAGTATTAAATAGATGTGTCAGACTCTGCGGTATCTTTTATTATCTCAAGCTCACCATGATATATCGTATCGACGTAGGAATGGAAATTACCCCTGTTAATTGACCACACGTCGTCGATATTTTTAAATGTCGAGTTGAAGGCCACAGCAAGTGTTTTCTTCTTATCACGCATAGGATTTTGCACAAATTCATATGAATATAGAAATAGGTCTGCTAATAACGGAGCGCAATTGGTGCCCATGGGAATTCCAATATATTGTTGGAAAACCTGGTCTCCAAAGACCACACAGATATTGTCAATCAGAAACTCAAGCATCCCTTTGATGTCAAACTTCAGAGTACTTGTGTGTGCAATCAGAATTTTGCAAATGACCATTGACCAAGTAAGTAAATTTACGAGTTCCATTTTTTCTTTGAAAAAGCAGCTGTCAATGATATCAAAAAGCCCCGACTTTAATTTATCGTGGAGAATGGTTGTGTATAAAGTTGAAAAGTCGTAAGTTTTTAAGCTTTGATTTTGGTAAATTCTTGTGATTTCAAATTGTCCAAAAGTTCTTTGGAATTTTTGTGAGTATCCACATCTGATTCACACCCCTTCTTGAATATATTGTTGAACTCTCGAAGTTGTTCCATCACTACTGTCAATATCTTAGTGAAAAGTAACGAAAGAGGCTTGGTTGAACTTTTTCTGGAACCCGCAATGTATCTTTGTTTATAAGGATTTTTATGAAGTTTCGGAATCCAATATATATGGGGTAGTTCAAATTCATTTTGGCTCTGTGGAATATTAGAAATATTTAAAATTGACATATGATTTTGAAGAATTTCTTCCTTAGAATGGGAAGTATGAGTATAAGTAGGATTACCATTTGTAGAATGAAATCCAACTTCTTCTAAAATTTAATTTATATAATGTTGGGTCACTGTTGTACTCTCAACAAAATCCGCCAACTTAGTGGTGACATGCTAACAACAGTGGCCCAACGTTGGGAAGCTTAGAAAAAAGATAAAGATCACATGAAACAAACTTTGCAATTTGTGTCTAAGACCTGAAAAAGTTTTAGGTAAAATATTGTACTTACATTTCCGTATGTGAAATGTCTGGACATAGCTCTAAAAATTAATCCACATTAGAGAACACACTTTCCAAAGCTTCAACGTTCTGCTGTAGGAAACACTCGAGATTAAAATGTTAGGCGTGTTAAAAGAATTGAGATTTGACCATCAAATTCCACAATTACCTTGATAGAAACTGGTCAGTCTCACGCTGTGAAAAACCCTGTCCTAATTGCTTGGTCAGAGAATGTTCTCTTATTTTAAAATATACCCCTAAATACAACACTTTAGAAAGTGTGTGTCTTGTTCGTCTTTTTTTTTTAAATATGAAATTTTCTTTATGTTATTCTCAAAAACATTTACTTTATAGAACTAGTAGTGTTTTAACATTAACATATTTTTAAGTTTCACTTTAAACTAAAAAATATAAAAGTTATATTACTTGATACATCGCCATGCATGTTTTAGGTACTCATGGTATATATGTAACATTAACTGCATATAATTAACTATTACTTTTTTTTTCACTTTCCGTCTTTTTGTCCGATTTTATAACAAACATTTCACATGTTTACTGAATTAGAACTGACTTCACTCCAATGTTGGTTCAAAGTTGTTTTACCAACAATTGTATCGAAATAAGGTCGTGAGTCACCAATGTTGGTTCAACGTTAGGCCAATGTTGTACTCCCAACGAAACCTGTCAGCTTAGTGTTGACAACTTGACAAGCTAAAAACAGTGGCCCAACATTAGGTCAACGTTGTGTCCCCAACCAACTTTGGCCTCTGAGTAAAATAGTGTAATGTTAATTTTTCCAATATTGGGCCGACATTGTAAACCCAACAAACTACAAAAAATAAGAACGTGATTCACCAATGTTGGCCCAATGTTGGGCCAATGTTGTGCATCCAACAAAATCCGCCAACATATGGCCCCTAACCAACCTCGGTCTCTGAGTAAAATAGTGTAATGTTGACATTGACCCAACATTGGGCCAGCGTTGTGTCTCCAACCAACCTCGGCCTCTGAGTAAAATAGTGTAATGTTGACATTGGCCCAACATTGGACCAGTGTTGTAAACCCAATGCCAACGGTCAAACCATTAGCCAACATTGGGACAACGTAGTTATGCTATCTGGGATATTACATTAACTATCATCAAAAACACCCAGGCAAGAGACAGGTTGACCCCTTGGTCACTTAAATATTACAAGCTTTATTAAAAAAATCTTTAAATGCTGTTAATCTCTTTTTATTTGCAAAAACTTATTATTTGCGTAAAGAACTATATGCGGTATATTGCATATGTTTGCCCCCACAAAAGTCAAATTTTGAGAACTTCCTGAAATGTGCTGAATTCAATAAATTGTACGAGAAATATAAGTTAACAGAAAATATTATAGTTCCAGAGCAGTGTATTCACAATTTCTGTTTTTATGACGTCACAAACTAGTCCGATTTTATATCCTTTTTCAGAAAGAGGACAAAATGGACAAAATTTCAACAATTTAAGAACAATTTAAGCTTTAAAATTTATAGAGCGCATGTGTGTTCAGGAACAATATTGACATATTTCATTGATATTATCATTCTACACATTATATCAAAATATTTATCCTGAACACACATGCGCTCGGTGACTTTTATTTGAAATATCGACGAAATATGTACATTTTTCTGCAAAATTCATAAAAAACTGAAATTACGTCATATTTGTGACGTCATTACGTACATATGACGTCATTACTTATGAAAATATTCAGTGCTTTGAAGTCAGCATATACTCCCCTGTTTAAGGACTTAATTAAATATTACTCCATCAAAGTTTGATTTTGGGGGGCAAATGTTGGTTAATACCGCATATAGTTCTTTGTGAGTCTGTCTGCTTGCGAAATTTGTAATCTGGCGTATTTTTGTAACCTTTAAAAAATATATATAGCAAATTACATAAAAAAAAAAAACAAAGCTAGCAAAAATTTTGTCTTGCGTATACATGTACATATAAATATCAAATAGCTATCTCGTGAAAATAAATTGTTCTACAGTAACGCAGCATAAACTGGATCTCTGGACAAAAGAGTAAAAAACGATTATTTGAGGACTCTGTATCTGTTATCCATCATCATAGACACGCAACTTGTTTCCTAGAAAAAGATAAGCCATATTCCAGTATGAATTTCAATTAATGTTAATTTACCCCCCCCCCCCCCCTTTCCCGCCGTAGTGTGGGGAGGTATACATTTTCATTTTTCTACGTTAGATTGCCGATCATTTTCGTATTTGATGCAAATAATTTGCTTTCTAAATGTCCCTGAAAAATGACGAAATTTGATGTAAAATTAAACTGAACATTTTAAATATGATACAATTTCACACTTAACCGGAAAACATAAGTCATTGATTATACATTTGGATGAGGGTTAGGTCTTTAATATATATGTAATAAAAATGTTAATTATATATATATACATGTACACATGTATTTCGTTTCAAGAATCATTCGTTATACAAAGTTACATGTATATATAAAATACATGGTTACTGTCTTGAAATATAAGCAATATTTGGGCGAGGGTAAGAAAACGTGATAGAGGGCGAGGCTTGCGGAGCCCTCTTACGTTTTCGACCCGGGCCCAAATATCGCTTATATTTCAATACAGTTATCATGTATTTTGTTTATCCTGCAACATATTCTTTACATTTGAACGTCCAAAACTAGCTATTTTCGACAGATTTAGGCACATCTCTACAACTATGACGCCATGGCGTAAACATTGCAATATTCATGACGTCACAATGCTTTAGAACGTCAGAATACATGCACGAAGCTTTATTAGGGCAGTGACCGGATAAAGCTTTGGTTTATTAGGTTACCTTTATTAGGTCAATGCAAGGGGTAGTTGCAGGATAAAATCTTTTAAGCAAACAGTTTATAGGATATTGCGGAGAAATTCTGTCTCATTGACCTAACACCAGGGCCAAAGTAAGCTTAGAATTTTCGCAAATTTGTTGCCTTGTAAATATTTTGAGACTCATTCGCATTAAGCATTTTTAACATTTAACAGAATCAAGTGATTTATTGTAAAGTAAAGTATAAATAGACCTGCATCATTCAATTTATGTAATTGCTTTATCGATAGCAGCATGCAATAATTTTACAAAGAGATGTTTTTGATATTTGGATCCTATTTTTGGATTTAAAAAATGAGCATGTTTGATATAATTTCAGGAATTTTCAAGATTTTTCTGAATCTTACTTCTGAATTACCACTATTTTCAAATTTCTGAGATGAAACAATATCATTGGACCTCATTAAGAAGACAAGCCATAATATGGAAACCATGTCGTTTAATGACAGCCATGTTATGGTTATTGCTTTTCGTTATCCAAGTATTAATTATTGGTGTTTTCATTTACCAATGGAGCTTTGAAAACTGTGTCCAGTTGTGGAAATATCAGGAAGTCAACAAACAAATGGAGAATTGTGAGTATGTCGTGATGTTCTTTATTGACATTTAAAAATAATTTAAAACAAGGGAACAATCTAGGGAAATGTTTAAAAAAAAAATTCTGTTCAGTGGGTACGTTTTTGAATTTAACACGACGAAAATTTCTCCTGACAATGCCTTCCACGCCGTTCCATCACGAAGATAACATTTTATAAATGATCGCATTGTGTTCTTGACTAAATCAAAATGAAACTATATAATTGGTATGATGATCTGCCATAAGCTTATGGACGAAACCGTACAATATATTCATAAAATTTCAGGTTTAACAAGGGATACATCAGAGATGGCACTAAGACCAAAATGTCCTGTAATTTCACCATACCTAAGTTGAGGATATTTTTTTTTGTATAATTTCTTCTTATCAAAAGTTTTTAAAGTATGATTTTTTTGTTTTATACTAAAAGCAAATACAATTGTAGCAAAAATTCTCCACTAAGCGTTACTAATATCGGTAAACCAGCTTTACATATATTGTATTTAATGAGCAATCTAATATTTTTCAGTTGGTTATAGAAAACCTGTTATCAACGATGAAATTCACTTAGAGGATACTTTACAGAAATACAGATACGTTAAGTGTGGGGGGCAATTTCGTCTTGCAAACTGCGAAGCACGCCAGAAGGTGGCGCTACTTGTTCCTTTCAGGGACAGACAAGAACACCTGACAATATTTATAAACCATATGCATCCATTCCTGATGAGACAGCAACTGGAATATAAAATCTATATCATTGATTTGGTAAGAATAAAAATACTGTCTGGTGACTGTTGCATATTATTCAAACGATCAGGGAACAAATTAAAATTAGTGCATTTAACCTTATTTTACTTTCTGGTTAAAAAGATAAAAAAAATTATAATCGTCTACAATATAGAGCTTCATTTTTGTACGTTGTTTTAAGTCCCCTACAAACCAAACCGGGATTATGAATGCCAGATTATTTAATTTTTTTTAATATATAAGAGATGTCAGTTGTCGCCAAACCAGGTCGAATGAATTTATGTCAAATATATTATATATACCACGAGCTAATTTTTATGGAACAAACTGTCACAAAATGTTCGAAATTCTAGGTCAATGTATATTTTTAAATCTGTGTATCTCACTGGGTATTTTAACGGACTCAATACTTAAAATAGAGTTCTATTCCAATCTTTGAGTGTACCTTCTTAAAAAATGTCGCTTCATGTTTATATATGTATGTGTTGCACTTTTATATCTTTTGTTTATATTGAGATGCTTATTTTATATGTCTATATGTGATAGTAAATATGTTTTAATGCAGGACCACATGAAAACTAGCTTTATGCTAACTGTGTTATCCTGGATAAAGAAAGGTTATAGGTATCCCATTCGTCTGTCTGTCTGTCTTGCTGTCTGTCTGTCTATCTGTCACACCTTTTGTCTCTGTTTGTTGCATTTGCTTTTAATTTTTTTTTTTATAAATGTTTGCATATATTAAACTGATTTTTTGGCATGAGTGTTTATTGATAAGTTTCAGATCCAGTTTGCATTTCGTTACAAATCAATGTTCTCTTCACGGAATTACAGGCTTTTTAATTTTTAATAGTTTTGGCAATTTTTCTAAATGCCTTGCATCTTTATCTTGTTCATGTCTGTATTTTGATTCACTTCAGCAATTGTTGATATAATTATGTTATTATAAGTTTCTAATGGGAACCCAGATAGCATTTGCCTGTTGAGGACTAGTATAAATTGCTAATGCAATGCTCTCAAATTGATTGTTTATTTTTAAAAAAGTAAATTTTCTTCCTTAATGATTTTGTCAAAAGTGAAAACATGATCAAAAGATATGCATCAAATACCAAGCGAATTAAAAAATTTATGTATCAAGTAAGAAAACCGGTGATGGTCTCTCTTTTAGATTTTTAGTAGAGGAAGTACGTTATACTGGTAAATTATAAAAATGCATATGTAATGTATGTTTAAAGTTTATTTTAAAATGTAAATTTGAAATTTGAATTATTTGAATCTTTCTCCAGGATGAAGAAATTATGTTTAACAGAGGTGTTCTGTTAAATGTTGGGTTCCTGGAGGCCAGCAAGGAGGCAGACTTTGACTGTTACTTTTTACACGACGTCGATCTCCTCCCAGAACACGATCACAACCTTTATCGATGTTCTGAACTGCCGCGACATATGTCTGTTGCCATGGACAAATTCAACTACCGGTAAGGATAAAACAACGTCCTATTTAATATTAAAAAGAAAAAAAAATAGCTATGTTCATGTAGACATTCGATCGAGTACTTGTATTTAAATATATTTAATTGCATAATTTGTTTTTTTATTTTTCACGCAATTGATATCCATACAAAACATTCAATGAAAATAAAATCATAAACCTTTTATTATTTCAGACTGCCATACCTTACATATTTTGGTGGGGTGTCCGCCATGACAAAGGACCAAATTTTATTTGTCAATGGGTTTTCCAACAAATTTAGCGGCTGGGGAGGGGAAGACGATGACTTATATAATAGGTTAATATAGATGTAAATTGATGTATCGATATTGTCATGAACGCTTTTGAAATATTAAAACTAATTTCATGGATAAACAGGTATATTGAAAAAATAACTTTGTTGTTCATTTATCAAAAATTACAATGTTTATTAATTTTCAATCTAAAGTTTGGAATGCTAAGGTTTGTCATGTAGGCAGATTCAACTTGAGATTGAAAATCAATAAACTTGTTAAGTAATATAACTTGATTTAAAATGTTTTAATTCAAAATCTAGTTTATTAGAAAAAAATATGTATATAATTATAATAATATTTCAAAGTTTGAACTTAAGAATATTTTAAAAAAATATAAATTGATTTAAAATGTTTTATTTCAAAATCAAGTTTATAGAAAAAAAATAGCCCGCCTAATGTTGTAAGAGTTATAATTTTAATATTTCAAAAAGTTTGAAGTTAAAATAGTTTTTTTCTTAAGTTTTAAACACAAAAATTTATGCATAACGATACCATAATGAATTGTTCATTTTTGTTTTAATAGGTTACATATTTCATAATATGACAGTCCTTATTGAAGTACGTATATTTTCCTGACGTCTCGGAAGGACAATATAAAACACACACACAATGCTCAAACATGAGCAAAGCCCGCCTAATGATGCAAGGTATTTATTTTTTTTTTCAAAACACCTTATAGCAATAAAAAAAATAAAAATTTCAAATGTTCACATTTTTTTTCAAGTTTTATATCTTGAACAAAAATTTGGGTTCTTGGATTTGTTCATTTTACGTGCAAAAGAAAGAATACTTTTCAAAATTGGCCACACATATTGTCCTCTTGTACGCAATGGCGGATTTTCTCTGCGACAAAACGTATCTACTTTTATTGCTCATTATTTCGTCCATCAGTGTATATTTTCCTCGGCATAAAATTATTTTTCTTGATAAAAGTTTTATATTTCTCATTAAAACACATCAAAATTGCCACTTTTCCTAAGGAAGGAATAAAGTTAAAATAAAACACACACCGCCAAAAAATTTAAAGTTTTAATAATTTTTGTCATTTTTATTAATTTTTGTGTGAAATGGATAAAATATATAAGTGATATTATACAGAAAAAATGAGAAAATATTAACTTCAAATCTGTGTCCAAGTACCTTTAAAAGAATCATATTCAATTTAAGAATGATGTAAATATATTGAGAGTAATGTTCTCATTTTTGAAATTTATGAAATTACATGTATAACAAAACGTTTCTGAGGAAAATTTTCTCAACAAAAATTATTCTGTTTTAAAAAATTAAGAGTATCATTATATAAAATTCTTTTTATTTCATCCTGATACTTACACTGAACTTCTAAGTGTTCACCTAACATTTTTTAAGTTTTAAAGAACAAATGCATACAATAAAAATTTCTTTAATTCAAGGTTAATGATGCATATTTAAGTATTAAAGCATTTTATAGTGGAAAAGGATTGCCCTCAAAAAAAATTCAAACAAAAAATTCATTAACTCGCTTTAATTAAGAACAATCTTTAGTTAATTAACAAAGATTGCATTGCCACATTTACTGCATACATCTTTCCAAACCGTTGAAAAAGCGTTTTTGTGTTCAAAATAAAAATTCAAATAATTTGAATATCAATAAATCGCTGCGGTGGAAAAATGCATTGAAACATTAAAAATAGAATTGTTTTGATAATTGAAAAAAAAAATTTTACCAAAGATCAAGGTCACTTTTTTAAATTTTTGATTTTTTTTGAAAAATTAATTAAAAATGTATTAACGGATTTTGATATTTGTTGTTAATTTTTTAAAGAAATATCAAAGGCAATCAAATACTAAAAATAAAACGTGGTCATGAATTAGGACACATCCCATCTTAATAATCATTTTGCCAATGTTTTGTGTTTTTTAATGAAAAGTTTTAAAAGTTTGATAATGATCACAAAAAGATGTATTACACAAAGCCTACATATACTGATTTATTGTTTTTCAATTTCATTGAATTTGTTTTCATCGGTGATATTTCTTTTCTTTCTATAATTGTTGAGAAGACTCATTTGTTGTAATAATTTGAAAATATCATATCATTCTATAAAGTATTTTTTAAATAAATACATTTATTAAAGTGAACACTTAGAAGTTTTGTTTAGTGTATACTTTAACCAATTCGCTTCACAGCTCCTGATAAATATTGGCATTAAAATCTTGTTGGTGATTGGACTCTTGACAAAATTAACGTAAAGTATTTTTTTCGGAAAGATGTGAATGTCATTTCAAAAAGTGTAGTTAAATGGAATAGAGAGGCTTTGCTCCATCTTTCTTTTAAGCAACAGATGTATATTTTTATGCAAAATTTGAGAATAATCTTTCAAAAAAATGTTTTTGTTTTCTGTAGTTAAAATAAAAACAGAATGTAAAAGTTTGTTGAAGTCTTTTTTTTTTCATTGAAGTTGTAAGTTTCTAAGACAAACACTGACAAATTAACGCTAAAAACTAAATTCAAACTGACATTGCGTTTTCACTCCCCAATATTTTTAGTCCATTACAGGTGAAATCATAGGGGAGTATAGGTTTCCCCTGAGTCCTGTTAGTATGTCCTGTAGCAAGACTGTTATAGAATCTACAAAACAGAACTCTTTGGATGGTTTTGGATCTGTATCTTGAAGAGCGAAAGCCGATGGGTCAATCTCCCTCAATCGAAACTCCCTGGACTGATCCTCCTGGACTGATCTCCCTGGACTGATATCCCTGGACTGATCCCCCTTGACTGATCTTCCTGAACTGATCTCCCTAGACTGATCCCCGTTGACTGATCTCCCTAGATTGATCTCCCTGGACGGATCCCCCTTGACTGGTCTCTCTTAACTGATCTCCCTGGACTGATCTCCCGAACTGATCTTCCTGGACTGATACCCTTGAATATATCCCGATGGATGAATCTCCCAGGACTGATCTCTCTGGACTGATCCCCCTGGACTGATCTCACTGGACTGATCCCCCTGGACTGATCTCACTGGACTTATCTCACTAAACTGATCTCCATGGAATGATTCCTCTGGACTGATCTCCACGGATCTATTCCACTTCTGACACAAAATGTCAATCAGTCGTCATTCAAAAGGAACACTATAGCAGTTCTTTAAATTTATCACATTTTTTTCCTTTAATACGTATTTAAAAGTTCTGGTTTGATATGCCGGAATGGCTTCCTGGATCATTTTGGGATCTACAAAACTATTGTAAATTTCATACATTATAACAACTGTATATAAAATATACAAACTTGATTAGTGCTCATCCATAAATTAAACATCTACTGTATATTTTGCATTTTACTTGCATACTGCTTTTATTGCAAATACTTAAGCATTTTACTGCATACTGCAGTTTACTGCAAAACTCAAGCATTTTACTACATAACTCCACAAAATATTTGTACGAAATACTTGTGTACAATACACACGTACTTTACACCATACATTGTAGCTGCTACATACTAAATTACTCTACTATACTCGTATACTATTAGCATAATACTAGTACTTGAATTGATAGCAATGAACACATTACTCAATCAGATAATTTACAACAAAATTAAGAACTAAGGTTCTTGGCCATTTCAGGAAACTTTGTAAGATAAAAACCCCTAAATAAATAAAACAAACTTACCTCAGAAGATATGTAAAGTTTGGTCAAATATATTTTATGAAGAATACTACTGTAAATACTCGAGCAAGTCAAGTGCGTCTGCTCTGCTCAATTGCTACACCCAAAATGACCACAAAACAGCACGGGATTTAAAACCGCCAAGTAAATTCTACTGAACAGATAAAATGTTATGGAACATACTTATTATATTTAAATAAGTTATTTATATAGCGAAAAAGTGTATGTTAAAATATATGGAACAATGTTTGGACATTAATTGTGACAATAACAAGTAACTGCTTATAAGAATGCCAAAAGTCTAATGACATCACTTCCGATAAAACCGGATATGGCAAGAAAATGCATAATTGGGTAATTTTAGTCATGGCTAGTGTCCGAATTCATTATTCGTTCATCGACATCACTACGGTTGAACCGGAGGTAGTCGAAAAAGACTTATTTTTGCACAAATTCAAATGGTTAAAGTCATTAGAGATTTTAGATTTTATTTTGCGTCGATCGATCACCCCCGGTTAAAGCGGAAGTAGTTTCCAGTATTTTTTTTTCTTTTTACAAGATCCTTGTAATTAAATAATAAATAGTTCTTAAAGACTTTTCACATCAATATTAGTCGTTTGCTCTTCAGAATTGTGTTTTTTAACATTTTTATTTGCATTCCTGTTCTTCATGTTCTTTACTGAATCGAATGAAAGGTCTGCTTGTATCGCCAGGAACGAGCTTTGCTCTAGTTAGTCTTCCATTTATGGATGGACAATCTCCAGCTACAATGTTACACATATTTCTTTTTGTAAAGTCTTCCTGTCCCCTGAAACAAATATATAATGCTTAGATCTCTGGCATGTGATTTATTTTCCTTTTATTTCCACACAGGTTCAAACTTCTCAGCACAGGCATGGAAAGGGTTAAGCAAGACGGCATCAAGGACCTGAAATATAAGATCTTGAATAGGACAGATTATTTACAGTATGCTTATATTAAAATTTCTTTCTGATTATTTAATTTTGAAAAAAAATGTTTTTGTCTGTCATATATGCTCATGAAGATTTGATGTAATAGCGGAAAAGCTTGAAAGCGCTTGATTAAAAATAAAACATCTGTATGTTTTTGTTTTTTGTTTAATTTATTTTTTTTAGTTTTTTAAAGTTTTTCCCTGTACATGTAGTTAATTTTACAGAAGAAGAAAACTGACATTTCTTTATTAGAAGAGACACCGTAACACTTTCTAACCAAATGAACATATACATGTTTAAATTAACGCTGCCTCCCCCGCAGTTCGGCCTGTGCTACATAGGTCATGTATACGACATCTGCGGTGTATGATTTCAGGTCTTTAATCGATTAGAAAAAAGTTA